TTAGTCATTAATTCCCAGGCCACATTCTTCTTCGTGTGTGGCAAATCTGGAATTTCTACAACATCAAACTCTCATAATTATCAAGAGCAGAAAAACTTGGAAATTCCATTCAAGTTTTAGTTAATGTTTCTCACAGAACATTTTATTCTCCATCTTAAAATAATAGACTTATGTGGAACCATAGCACATTTAAATAGCTAAGCAGTCAAATTTAATCTGTTTGAATATTTTTCTACATCCAACTAGCTACATCCTGCAAAGGCACACGTATGTGTGTGGGCGAGTGAGTGAGTGAGTGAGTGTGTGTATGCAAATAAAAAGATTTTCTCTAACTGGTGAAACTAACACCAGGTAGCCATGAAAGGCAAAGGTAAGAGTCTGGGAGAAGCTATTTCACCATGATCTTCAGCTGTGAACTTTGGACGCAAGTTTAAAAACACACCACAAGAAACACTTTTCTAAAAATTAGAGTAATATGAGTTTTACAGAGACTGACTTGGGGGATCAGGTAGCATGGCCAGGAAGGAAGTCAGATGTATCTATTCCCTTCATAGACCTGAAGCAAGGGCATAAGTGAACCAGGTAGTTGAAGTTCTTAGGCCCTGAGTTTGTGTGCTCATTTATAACTCTTGTCTCACAATTGATGTTATTTGCTAATATCTTACTATTTAGAAAATAGTTAGATTAACATACTAGATTGGAATTAGAAGTGAATTTGATTAAACTCACATGGGATTTCACAAAAAGCCATCGTACTAAAGTAACATTTCAATTCTGGCTTTGGTGTCTATAATTGGAGAGAAAAGAATTGAGTTAATGGTGCGGTTCAAAAAGCTGTAAAAAAATGAGAGCCTCCATCTTGAGATCAAAGAATGATAAAACTTTTATAAAACTTTTAAAATTATAAAACTTTTAAAGGATTTTATTGATTTTATGTATTTAAAGGATTTTATTTAGAATTATAGATGTACATCATGCCTGAACATAACTACACACTAGAGAAGTGGATTTTTAAGAGTTACCTGTAGCATAATTAGACTAACATGATCTATTTGAGGTAAGCAAATCAGTTCCACTGATTATTTTTTAAAAATGTCTCAACTCCTATGTTTCAAGGAGGATCAAACTGTTACCATTAGGATACTCAGTAGATGTGACTAATTGTTGCTAGTTACGTATATATGTGCATTATAGTTCAATATGGATGTCACACACTTCAATTTCTTGAAGAACAAGAAGCAGTCTACCTCTTGTTCCCACTGATAGAGCTGTAAGAATTCAGCATTTAGGGAAAGAGCATAACCTCTCACTCTCTGAAGGAAATTTAACTGCCCTGCTGGTGAACAAGTAAAGGTATGAATGCCAATTAGCATGTCATTCAGGCTATCCACCTGATGTAATCAGAAGAATTGAAGAAGCTTTTTAAAAACAGTTCTGGAGAGAAATATGGACAGCCATTCACAGCATTCTTGTGTCTGGAACAAATATTCATAGAATTCTCCATAGAGGTGATGCTAAAAAACCAGTCCCTCAGGCTGACTAGAAGAGTCTGTGTTTGGTAGATTGGGGCAAAGCAAAAATTCTGTCTGAGTTGATAAGGTCACAAAATAAGTGTCCAATCAATCAATCAATCACACTCTTTCAGTAAAAATACAAGTGAGTTTTGGTCATAGTTTTTAGTTCACTCTGTCTTGTGAAATG